TGATTCAAAATTATAATATATATTTATATATAATAGAGTGAGAATGATAAAGCAAATATGGAAAAATGTAAACGACTGTGAATTTGAGTAAAAGATATACTAAATTTCTTCATTCTATTTTTGTACTATTCTTTCAGTTTGGAATTATATCAAAATAAAAAGTCACCAAAAACAAGTGAGTTCCCATCTTTTCATGTTACAAAGTAAGCTTCTCCTACAGAACACTAATTCCAAAAGATGCCAAATAAAAAGTGGATTTCATAGCAAATAAAATCGGGAGCAGCAACTTCCCGTGATACTCACTTTCCAAAGGATCACTCTGTAATATTAAAAGCCTATTAAAGGTCTGAAGATGTCCTGAAATAAGAACTCTGTTCAACATTGCACTTCCTGAGCTTCTGGCAGCTTCTTACCTTATGATTCTAACATCAGCAAAACTAGTACTCCAGAGAATGGGAGGAGCTGACTAGCTTGAGCTAACAAGTGTAAAACAGGCAAAGCCCAGGCCCTTCAACCCTGGACTCCTACAAAGAACTGTTGGCCTCAGAATCAGCTATGAATAGGCAGAGGTTTTCTCTGTGCTAATTAGCATCTCTGAAACTGAACCTGCAAACCTGGTCTTACACTATACCCAGCCAGACTAATCAATCCAAAGTAGGTCCTGTTTAATACAAAAGCAACCACAACACGGACACCAGAAATATATTCCTTCTTCAGAAATATATTATGTGTTATTAGGCTTATTATTAATTATTCACTCCATTTATTAGTTTACATATCTTACTCTCCAAATAGACTAAACTCTTTCATTAACAAGATTATTTCTTATTTCATTGTAACACCCTCAATGCACAGTGCCTGACTCACTACAGGTCACCAATAAATATATGTTAATTCTATACAGGATTAATCAAGGAATAATTACCTCTGACCCAAGATATGATTTCCCTTGTATTAATTCAGGTGCTGCATAAGCAAGACTTCCACAGCATGTCTGTAGATGGTAATCTTTGTCACCCTGTCAATATGATAAAAATGAAACATTTAATAATTACAATTCTTAAGAGAATTAAACCTTGATAAACATTCTTTGAGCAAAAGCAAAGAGAAACGAGATGAAGAACTATCCCCAAATAATAAGGGACTTGGGCAACCAACCCCAAACTGTGCACACATGTATGGTCTCAGCTTCTTTGGATTTCCAGCACCACTACAACTTGGCACAAATATTCTTCCCTTTAACTCAGTCAAGTCTTTACAAATATAGAAGAGCTTCTTTTTCCTTAGAGTGAAAAAAAAAAAAGAAAAAAAGAACAATCTGGTACAAAGAATAGTGCTTTGAGAATCTGTTTTCTAGACTAAGTTATAAAACAAATCACTCCCTTTGCTTCCAGATCTGTTAAAATGAGAAAATCTGCTTATCCTTCTCTGCCCTCCCCCCAAAAATATCAAGATATAATGAAAATGAAGCTACTGCCCAACACCTATATAAAGTTTTACAGCTGGCAAAGGACTTGTGAAGTTGTGAAGATTTCATTTACAACTGAAACAACATGCCTAAGAGTGAGTTCCTCAGCAGAAGGCTAAAGTAAGCCTCTCCCAGGCCACCCCCATCTTTCTTAGATGGTGTCTGTGTTGGTTGAATCTGTGGCAGGCACAAAGGCTCATGGAGTCTGCCACAAACTTTCTCCACTGCCTCCTGTGGAGAACATGACTTAAACAAGTTTATCTGTTCAAAGTATGTTTTCTCTTTATGTCAAAAACATAAAATAAAAACAAAAAACAAACAAATAAACAAACAAACAAAAAAAACCACAAATAACTGCCTTCTCACATTTGGTTCCCAGACAAAAGGCTCCACTGATAATCTCTAAAGAGCCAAGGGAGAGAGAAGAGAATCAGAAAAAGTCAGACATTCAGCCCAAGGGGCAAAATATGCTTCCCTCTGCACCTGACTAATGCTGATTGGGGCAGGAAATAATCATGGGACTACAAAGGGCTGAGACAAATGTGCAATTTCAACATTCTTAATGAGTGTAGACATCTCATTTTAGAGATTGTGAGTACTATCATTAGAGAACTCAAGAGGAAGCCTCCAACAGGTAGCCACACAGGAGATCTGCTACAGACAGCAGAGCTGGAAAGTTCAAAGTCACCTCAAAGAGAAGTTATACTGGAAACCACCAGTACTTAACTATGGACTACAAATTAAGGAAATAATTAATAATATAAATTTAGAAGGGCATATGGATGTTTTCCTTCTTTTACAAGAAAAGGGGATTATTTCTAGAAATGTAACTAACTGTTATGTAACCATTTAGAAAACAAATAATAGACTTACATTAAATTTCAACTCAAATCTAAATAAACAAAGACATCATCTGGTCGTAACATACTCAAACTGCAAGCCTGTGTATTATTCAGCATTCCTGCTGCAATGGCCTCATGTCACCTCCGCACTGCAAATTCTTCCATAGTTATACCCATGGGGTCTTTACTCACTGCAAGTTCTCTCATAATATACCCATTGGGTCTTTAGTTTCTTTATTTTTTATTTCAGATTAATGTGAGGGTATAGATGATTAGGTTACATTGTTTGTGTTTGCTAGGTAAAGTCCAAGTTGTACTTAAGCCCTTCACCCAGGAGGTAGGCCATATACCCCTCATTATGCCCATTAGTAGAGAGCTTGCCAATCCCCCTTCTTCCTCCCCCTTTTTTTTTCTTTCCCCCTTCCCCCCCCACACTTGCATTAAATTATGTTTTTCTCTCATGTGGACATGTAATTATTTATATATTGGTTTCATATTAGTATTGAGTACACTAGATACTCACTTTTCCTTTCTTGTGATACTTTACTAAGGAGAATGTTCAGGTTAATACAAAAGATGTAAAGTATTTATGGCTGAATAGTATTCCATGGTATACGTATACCACAGTTTATTAATTGATTCATGGGTTGATGGGCACTTGGGTTGATAGCACATCTGGGCAATTGTGACTTGAGCTGTGATAAACATTCTAGTGCAAATGTTCTTATGGTAAAAAGATTTGACAATCATAGCAACAACAAAAATAAATAAATGGGACTTAATCAAGCTAAAAGGTTTCCACATAGCTAAAGACACAACAATTAAAGCAAATAGACAACCTTCAGAATGGGAAAAGATATTTGCCCGTTACTAATCTGGGGCTGAAAACCAGAATCTACAGAGAATTCAAACTAATCAACAAGAAAAGAGCAAACATTTATCATTGGACAAAAAACATGAACAGAACCCTCTCTGAAGAAGAAAGATGAATGGCCAACAAACACGTGGAAAAAAAGCTCATCATCCCTAACCATCAGAGAAATGCAAATCAAAACTACTTTGAGGTATCACCTAACTCTAGTAAGAAAAGCTCCTCTCACAAAGCCCCAAAGCCACAGATACTAACATGGTTGTGGAGAGAAGGAAACACTTGTACGCTGTTGGTGGGACTGCCAATTAATAAAATCTCTTTGGAAAGAAGTATGGAGAACCCTCAATACTTAAAAGTAGACCTTCCATTTAACCCCAAAATCCCATCACTAGGTATTTAGCCAGAAGGAAAAAAATCATTTTACCATAAGGACATTTGCACTAAAATATTTATCACAGCTCATGGAGTCTTTAGCAAGGCCAACTCTAGTACTAGAGCAGTGGCTCTCAATCTTGGTTATATATTAGAATCATCTAGATAACTTAAAAAATAACTGATGCCAGCAATGAAATTTAACACTTTTCAATGAATGTAATCAGGTTAAATAAAGACTAAGAAGAAATCAGTACAAGATAACACACTAAGAGATGCATTTACCAAAAAAATACTTTCTTTTTTTTTTTGGAGACAGAGCCTCAAGCTGTCCCCCTGGGTAGAGTGCCGTGGCAATCACAGCTCACAGCAACCTCCAACTCCTGGGCTCAAGTGAGTCTCCTGCCTTAGCCTCCCAAGTAGCTGGGACCACAGGTGCCCACCACAACGTCCAGCTATTTTTTGGTTGCAGCCAGCATTGTTGTTTGTTGGGCCGGGCTGGATTCGAACCGGCCACCTTAGCCATTTGAGCCACAGGCACCAAGCCAATAATACATTTTTATTTCTGTACTTACCTTAGGTTTTGCACACAAACCGAAGTCAATCAGCTTTAATTTATGATATTCATCAAACAATAAATTTTCCTGGAAAAACAAAAATATTTTTATAACTGTACAATGACTTCCTATATCAAATCCTACCTCTAAGTCATTTCTAAAAATGATTTAAGGTTACTTACATTTAAAACCCTGGGTATAACAGAGTAAAAAAATCACTAAAAACTAATGAAATGACAAGAAATACAGAAGAGGAAAGAGGAAGAATGTTGATAACTCTAACAATTTCCCTGAACATACACTAGCATAAACCATTTTCTCCTTTGTGCTCTCAGGTTAAACTACAAGCAAATACAATTTGTGCCAAAATCAAGTCTAAACCAAAAGAGTGAGCTCAATTCAAAGAGTTGGGTAAAAACAGACAGAAAAGGGTATTTTCTCAGCTTAATTGTAAGTCCCTAACTGGGTATCAAGTAATATTTAAGTCCATATTCACAATAGTCAGAGCCTACAGACTTAAAGGGTATCCACACTTTAATTCTTCCCTTAAAAAGTAGAGTCTGTTGATTACATTGAAGTGTCCCTTCTGAGAAATAATGGAATTAAAATAAAAGGAACAGGCCAGGCATGGTGGCTCACACCTATAATCCCAGCACTTGGGAGGCTGAGGTAGGTAGATTGCCTGAGCTTACACATTCAAAACCAGCCTGAGCCAGAGCAAAACCCCATCTCTAAAAAATAGCTGGGCATTGTGGGGGGCACCTGTAGTACCAGCTACTTGGGAGGCTGAGGTAAGAGAATCACTTGAATCCAAGAGTTTGAGGTGGCTGTGAACTAAGATGCCCCACTACTCTACCAAGGGTGACCAAGTGAGACTCTGTCTCAAAAAAAAATAAAAATAAAAAATAAGCTCAGTGCCCATAGCAGTGGTTACAGTGCCAGCCACATACAGTAAGGCTGGCAGGTTCAAACCCAGCCCAGGCCAGCTAAACAACAATGACAACTGCAACAAAAAATAGCCCAGTCTTGTGGCAGGTGCCTGTAATTCCCAGCTACTTGGGAGGCTGAGGCAAGAGAATCGCTAAGCCCAAGAATTTGAGGTTGCTGTGAGCTGTGATGCCATGGCACTCTACCAAGGGTGACATAGTGAGACTCTGTCTCAATAAATAAATAAATAAATAAATATTAAATTAAAGGAAGATGGAGTTAGGAAAATAGCACTGAATGGAAAATGCTCAAGTACACAATATACTCAAAGAAAATACTCAATACTCTTCTAGAGATAAAATCCTGATTACAAGACAAATCTTACACATAATTGACAAATAAATCAAACACTAATAAGTCCATCCATAAAGGCTGCCAACAGTCAAAGGTAAAGGAGAAAAAAAGCAACATGAAGGATTCTGACTGGAATCACAACAATCAAAAAAGCAAAGCTAAGATATACCCCTAAACAGAAAAACATTTAGAAACCTAAAATGACAGGTAAATGGTATTGAACCCTTGGGTAAGCATCTAAATGTGATGTAGTTTACTTACCGGTTTGAGGTCCCTGTGAGCATAGCCCTGACTGTGCACATAAGCAACCGCAGATACTATCTGACGGAAGACAACTCGGGTTTCCTCTTCTGACAGGCGATCCTGGGAAATTATATAGTCAAACAGCTCTCCTCCAGGGCAGTACTTTAAGGGCAAAAGAATCACGCAGAAACTGTTACGACTTACAAATATCACCTCATGAGAATTTAAAATAAAAAATTATTCTTAATGCAGAGATATTATTAATTTGACTTTATAGGCAAGGGAACTGAGTGAGGCATATTCAAAAGTACACTCTCAGGATCAAACAAGCCAAAAATTATTCCAGGAATGAGAACAGTAACTCTTTCCTCAAGCAGTTTTATAACCAATAAGTAGAAGTAAAACCAACTACCACTGTGATTTTTAAAAGCTCACTCAGGGTTTTATATTTTTATAGCAAAGTACCCATTCACATCTTAGTGTACTTGTATTTAATATAATTACCTAAAATTACAAATCCCAGCAATAATTATTGTTTCTCCATTCCAGAGACTAGTGGTTTTCAACCATGGCTCACACCTATAATCCTAACAGTCTATGAGGTCAAGGCAGGTGGATTACTTCAGCTCAGGAGTTCAAGGCCAGACTAAGCAAGAGTGAGACCTTGTCTCTACTAAAAACAGAAAAACTAACTGGGTATGATGGCTCATGCCTATAATCCCTAGCTACTTGGGAGGATGAGGCAAGAGGATCTCTTGTGCCCAGGAGTTTGAGATTGCTGTGAGCGATGACCCCATAGCACTCTACCCAGGGCAACAAAGTGAGACTCTGTCTCAAAAAAAAAAAAAA